GTTGAACAAGATAAAAGTGCTTATTATATCTACAAAATGATTCTAGGATAGATCTGGGATGATAATATGAATTGTCATAAAACAAATTAAGTAAAATATGATCATTTTGGAAAACATGAATGAATAAAAGTATAGTCAAATGATTGATTAATAATGATATTAATGTATTTAATATATTAATTGAAAATACGAGATTATATACAATGTAATTATAATTAAAGACTATGAAATGGAAGCACAAGACAATTTGTAAACCAACCGGCACACTGTATGTACATATATGGAAGATGATTTGATGTTTTTATGTTTTGTTTGTTTATGTTTGTTTTAAAAACTAATAAAAATTAAAAAAAAACAACCAGAGGTATTTCCACACTTTGTTCCCAGCACTGGCCCATACGCATGTCCATCCTTTTAACCATTTCCCACAGCTTCAGCCCATGAAGAGGATCAAGGCCCTTTCTTTCCCCGTAGACTACACCATTCACATCTCTCCCATATCTTCTCCTCCCTGCGTGCCCTAGGATGGAGAGGGGATGGACCTGGGTCTTCCTCCGACTGCCAAGCCAGCCAGCCTCTGCCCTTCCCCAGCCTCCTCCACAACCTCCAGAGCCATACTTCTACTCCCTGTTGGCTGTTCCTCCTCTCCGTCAGAGTCAGTCTCCAACAGGGGCATGACAGCCACTTTCTACTGTGCTATCCCTCAAATTCTAGATTTGCTGAAAGTTGGTTAGGCTTCGGTTAAAGCTATATGAACCATACTGCTTGGGCCAAAGTTGCAGGGCCGTGACTCAAAGCTACTCCCTCCTGAACAGTTTTGTGTACTGATGGGTATCAACACAATTTCTTGTTTTGGAAGTAAAGACATAAAACGTGCAATTGTGACTGATTAGTCAAGAATGGGAAAAAAAATCCTCTGGGAGGAATCATCCAGATGTGTGCATGGGGTTCTCCAAACGCATCATTCCTTGTGGGAAATGCTGGTCAGAAACACCCTGAAATTTGGAAGGGGGGGGACAAAGAAAGCTCAGACGCTGTGCCCACATTTGCCACCGTGCTGCCTGATACTGAAATACAAACTAAAGAAAACAAACACAGCTTCCTTGTTTGGCCTGAAAGAAAATGGTACAGGGAGTCCCCAAAGCTGACGATTACAACACTTGTTACTTAAGAGCTGTGTGCATACTTTCTATTCATTGTTTGGCCCTGTCAGCTGATGGAAACCCACAGCCTTCAATTCCCCACTTATCACAAGTGCAAACCGTGGCTGAAATCAAAGTGAAGATGCCCTCAAGTCAAAACCGGATCCTTAACTTGCAACGTTCTTGACAGTGTTTCAGAAAATGGGTTTGGCCAACTGTTTTTTTTTTAAAAAAGGATTTTTAAACGTTTTCCATCCTGGCTGAGAGAGCTGGAATTAACTGATCCCCAACCATGCTGAGCTACCAAGGTTGGACAAGGTACTTCAAAGCAAAGACTACAAGAGCGAGGAAGCAAGGGATGTTGTGGGTCCCGTCACCTAAGGAGATACACCTGGAGGGACCCGGAAGGGCCTTCTCTGTGGTGGCTCCCCCCCCAGGGGTGGGTTTCAAAAATTTTAGCCACTTTAGGGTTCTCTAGCCTGGTTGCTTCATGGTTGTGGCCTAGTTGGCCTCCTGCACCACGGTTGGGGGGGTCGTTTTTGTCCTCGCTGGGCTCCGGAGGCTTTTCTCGAGCCTCCGGAAGGGCAAAAATGGCCTCCTTGGGCTCCAGAGGCTTTCTAGAAACCAGGAACAGGCCCATTTCTGGCCTTCCTAAACTTCCAGGAGGCCCGTTTTTCGCCCTTCCTTAGCCTCCACACTCACCCTGTGCTTACCTGCATCCCAAACTGGCAGTGGGAGGGGAGGAATGGGGTGGGCAGGGGCCAGCCAGGAGTGGGATTTGGTTTTTTTCCCCAAACGGCACAGAATCTTAGCTAGGGGCCCTCCCAAAGCCCTGCGAACCCCCAGCAGCCCAGCCCTGGCTCCCTCCCTCTGGAACACCATCTCTCCAGGAATTAGACTGGCCCGCACTCCGACCCTCTTTCACAAGACCCCGAAGACGGGCTTCTGCCAGCGGGCCTGGGGAGCCCAGAGTGGGTGGGGGGAGCCCGTGAAATGGCTGATCTGAAGACGTGTTGTCGCCGAGGGAGTCGGGGTTATCACAGGTAGTCCTCAACTTACGATGCCAATGGAGCCCAACGTTCCCATCGCTACGTGAGAAATGTGTGTGGAGTGAGTTTTGTCCCATTTTACGACCTTTCTTGCCACCGTCGTTAAATGAACCACTGCAGTTCTTCAATGAGTAACCTGGTTGTTAAGTGAAATCTGGCTTCCCCAGTGACTTTGCTTGTCAGACGGTCACAAAAGGGGATCGTGTGACTCTGGGGCACTCCAACCGTCATAAATACGAGTCAGTTACCAAGCGTCCGAATGTAAATCACGTGAGCATGGGGGGAATGCAGCAATGGTCGTAAGCGTGAAAAATGGCCATAAGCCATTTTTTTCCAGTGGCGTTGTAAACTTATTATTTCTATTTTTCCCCCCACATTGTGTTTTTATTACCCGTAAGTTGCCTGGAGTTGCTGTGAGGAGAAAGCTACATAAGTGGTCATAAATCAATCAATAAATATAAATGAAGTCTCCTGAGGAAGAACCGAGCCACGGAAGGAGGATTCTTGAAGCAAGGCTAGCTGGTGTGAGGGAAAGGGGCCTTAAGGGACAGCTGCTTCTGCAGGATGCTCACCTGGCATCCTGGAACCATTTGGGGCAGCTGGTTGGATTCTGCTTGGCGGCCGAGCACAGCAGGGGGGCAGAAACGGGATCCCGAGCTCGTTCCACTCACTCCAAGGAGAGGCTCTCTAGGCCAGGGGTCCCCAAACTTGGCAACTTTAAGACTTGTGGACTTCAACTCCCGGTATTCTCCTGGCTCGGAGAATTCTGGGAGTTGAAGTCCACAAGTCTTAAAAGTTGCCAAGTTTGGAGACCTCTGCTCTGGGCTAAACCAAAGTTGCACAACAGGACAATCACAAGGCTAAAGAACCCTAACAGCCCCAAGACACTGACTGCCCTCTCAAGTTTCCTGTGGCATTCATCACTTTTTTCCTGAACGGCTTGAAGCAAGCTGGGAGATATTTCCTCTCTACTATGTTTCTTCAGGTATTAAAACTTGAGAGTTTTTCTGCCCTGGCCGATAGGACTATATGTATTCTAACGGGTCTCCTAAACAACATCAAGAGTTATTCCATCATCATCATCATCATCATCATCAGCCCAGCAACTACGGTAGACTATCCATTCCAGGATCGCAAGCCTGCTGGTGCCACCTCGGATCTATCCCTGTAGCTTCTGGTTCCGAGAGTATGTGGGCCCCATGGCTACCAAGATGAATGCATGCCAATCATACCCAAAGCGTGCCACGCAACTATTCGGATTATGCCCTCTAGAAGCCAAAGAGCCAGCACAGACACGGTTCCATAAATTATCCCACGTGGACCTTGTAATGGAAGGCGCAGCTAGTTGCAGGAAGAGTCCGTGATGGTATTTCTACCTCGCTCACAAGAGACCACCGAGAGATGATAAAAGGGGTTAAAATCTGCCACCTCGTGTTCTTGATAAAACCTCTCCCCAACCCATTTTCATTACCCATTGTTCCAAACAGAAAGTCCTTCAACTCCTTCATAGCCCTATGAAGCGGTTTTTAAGCCTTAAATGACCCCTGCTTGAGCAGAAAGGGGTAGAAGTCTGCAGAGCGGTTGATATCAATGCTTCCAAAAGCAGCAAGATCGGCTGTGGAGAGGATTATGGTACATTCCTCTGTTTTGGTGGCTAACAGTCCGCATGCTCAGAATCAGTCTGCGTCCATACAGGTCCTGGATTGCAAACATTTTCAGCTGTTAAATCGGCTTCAGTTGTGTGGGGGTTATTTCTATTATACCGATCCTGTGAAACCCTACCTGGTACCGATTTGACGAAAACTATTTTGAGAAGCGGTAACTCTGCAGAAAGCAGAGAGAGAGAGAGAAAGTTTCTCCAACTCTAGAGCCCTTTTGTTTCAAATCCCAGGGATTAAAATTTGATGCCTAAATCCAAAACGTTACCTGTCCTTTACAGAAACAGTGTCTGGTTTTATACCGACAGTCTGTGACGGTGTTTCTCAACCTTGGCAACTTGAAGACTTGGGGACTTCAACTCCCAAACTTCCCCAGCCAACATGGCTGGCTGGGGAAATCCTGGGAATTGACGTCCACGCATGTTCTCGAGAAACACAGGTCCATCAGAATCCCAGGTAGAACTTGAGCAGTTGAAAAGTGTCCTGATCTGAAAATGGATGCAAGCCTTAACTCTTCAACCCACAAAATAACGGTGTCATGAGTTACACACATGGAGTGCTATGCTCAGGAGCTAACAAATGGGGTCATTTGAGCCTCTTTTGTGACGACAAAACTGCTTCTTGTATCAGCAAATGCAGAGCAGGAAAAAAAAAGGAGAAGTATTTAGCAAAGAGCATAGAAAAATATTTATTGAAAACAGAGCTGTTCAAAGCGCTGCATAATATTGCTAAATGAATGTTGGAAGCTACCTTCTGTTAGGCCAGATCGCTTGTCCATCTAGTCTTATATTCTGACCATTAGTGGCTTCAGAGTCTCAGGCAAAGGTCTTTCCCATCAATTGCTATTTAATCCTCTTTAACTACGTGTTAGGGAAGAACCTGGAACCTTTTTTTGGATACCGAGCGTGGTCCCTCCCTAAAAGTAAAAATAAGGACCCCCAAAATGTCCAAGGAGCCATGAAACAAACAACGGCCTTCTTGCATTCCTGGCTCCTAGAGAGGTCTTATGGTGCACCTTCTTACCCAAGATCCATCATGCACCCAAAAGTTTTGGGCTACCAAGGAAGAGGTTCTCGGGGGAAGTTGTCCAAGTGAAGAAACTGGCTTGGACCTCTCCAAATTTACGCAGGAGTTCCGCACCAGCCTTTTAAAAGAAAACTCCAAACCTGAGGCTGCGTTGCAAGGCAAGAATAAGCAGCAGAGAAAAGGAAAAGGCTACATGGGGGGAAAAAAAACCCCATTTGTGTCTTCTTTTCAGACACAAGCACACAGAGGAAATGTTTCCCAGAGGAAAGCATACTCTTTCCAACCCCCTACTCTGCTTAGGGGGTAGAGAAGAGAGCTACATTTGGTACTCCCAAAGAACCCCAGGGAAGCAGGCTTGCTTTGCTGAGGTCTATAAAAGAGCTCAGGTTACAAATCTAAGCGTCGGCCAAAGCTTAAGTCCTGAAATCTTCGAACCCTGGATAAGCCTGTTAGGGAGATGGGCTAACTCTATCCTTTGGCTGCCCTCCAGAGGCAAATCATTTATCTTCACGAACCGCCACAGGGAAGGAATTGCCCCGTTTCCCCCGCCCCTGAAGAAAAGGCATTAATAACAAGCCAAATACCAGCCTGCTCCAGGGAGCGAGACAGATCACTCGAGATTAAATCCACGAACACCAATATATTTGGAGAGTGAGCAGGCCACACACTATGGCTTCTCTCTCGGCTGATATAGCTCTCAGGTCACCAGGCCTCTAGGCTGCTGTGGAACTAGTGCTTGACTCCCAAACGTGGTACTTCTGGTCACTGATGTGCCTCTTGCTGGAACATTTTCTGTGAGAAGGTTCAGACGGGGTCTCGCCAGACCAGAGATTGGGGACAGGAGGTTCCCCACTACTTTTGCTCACAAAGACGGCTGGGATCTTAGGAGACAGTTCCAGCTCTTCGGCGTGCCGGGCCCTGGCCGGCTGAGAGTTCTTGCCTTTGGTGCCATGCCCGGCGTTCCGGGGCTTCTCCCCTGGGCCCTTCGTGTAGGCGGTGGGGATAGGAAGGCGCCGAGAAGCGCCCTTGGAAGCTCCACTTGCGGCACTGCTCCCCAGACGGGTCTGAGCCACGGGGATCTCATCCATGGACTCGGCTGACTCGGAGTGATAATCAGCCGGGGGGCCTGCGGCTTGGACTGGACCGGTGCTGCCGGTGGGTACGGCTGCTTTAGGAGGGCCAGCCGGTGCAAGGAGGCGAAGGCTGGAAGTTGAGGAGGTTGAAGAGGGGGCGGTAGCGATGGACGACTCTGAAAACAAGAAAGGGAAGAGAGGGTAGCAGAAATGACCCCTCCCCTCCTTTTACAGCAAGGGGGGTTGTCGGAGGTCACGTGATTGGCAGCAAGAAACCAGGGAAAGGTTAATGAGCTCTGCTACTCAGGCAAAGCTATTAGAAATAGTTGGGCTGTAAAAAAACAAACAAACTAAGGCTATTCACACGTCATTTGGCAGCTTTATATTTAAATCTCCAGGATGCTCGTTTGGCCACAAGGGGGGGAGGGGGGTCCCCTGAGACCTTTAGGATGGTATCTCTGGCCTGCTGATCTTACCTGACTGTAAAACTGGAAGAGAGGTCCACGGGGCGAGAATCACCTTGGAGTTTTCTTCCAACCCAGAAGAGGAAACCTTCTGCAACTTCTTCCGCTTCTTCCTCTTCTTCTTCTTCTGAAGCTGCACAGTAAAGCAAAGTGGCATCCGTTTAGAATCAATACAACTACAACTGATTATGGTTATCGGTCAACCCGGGCCAAATTTCCACCCAGCTATGAAGCTTAGTTGCACTATCTCATCTACTCTTCTTTATAGGATTCTTATAAAGACAATCTAGTATGAAGCAGACAGCTTAAAATATACCATCTAGCCACTCAGAGATCTTTGCAGAAAGAATTCAGTGACAATTTTCATCCACGAGACTTTACTCCTTGAATTGTGATGGGGTTCAGCAAAATGTCCGTGGAGGTTCTCTGTCATCCAGGTCATGGCTGTGTCCCAAAGGTGCTTTTTCAAGAGACAACTGGACTTTCTTTGTTTTTTCTTTAAAAATATGCTTTGTCTTTCATCCAAGAAAGAACTGAAGAAGCTTCTTGGATGAGAAGGGAAACGTCTTAAAGGAAAACTGAAGAAAGTCCAATTGCCTTTTGAAAAAGCACCTTTGGGTTCAGCAAAATGTGACAGGATAGGAAATCAAGTGTTTTCTCGGTTCTAGTACTACAAAGAATCTTGGAGTAGTCACTATTTCCCAGCTTAGATTATTGAGGTTGGGTTGGGGAAGGACGGGTGAGATAAAGATCTATAAATATTGACAGTGGGTTTTTTTTAACCTTGGCAATTTTAAGATGTGTAGACTTTAACTCCCAGAATTCAGGAATGAAGGGGAGTTAAAATCCTCACACTGAAATCAAGGCTTTTTAAAATAATGTCTATATAGTTTTGACTAAAGAGGAGCAAAGAATCGGTGTATATCTTTTGCTACACAGGTCAAGACGGTAACATTTTTAAAAAACACCAAAACTTTCCTTTTTACAATGGCAACAAAGAAAGAGTTCTGTATTTTTGCCAGCCATAACACATGTAACAACTTCTCTACAAATAAATAAATAAACATGCATGGAATAGGAATAGGAAATGCCATCAAGGATTGTTAATTGCTTGATGAAACAGAAAGTGTCCTAGGGTGATACAATCAATCGCATCCCTGTGTAATGTTATAAAGACAATCTAGTATGAAGCAGACAGCTTAAAATATACCATCTAGCCACTCAGAGATCTTTGCAGAAAGAATTCAATGACAATTTTCATCCACGAGACTTTACTCCTTGAATTGTGATGGGGTTCAGCACCAGGCTACGCTTCAGTCACACCTCTCTTACCTGTCGCTGGTCTCCAGACTGCAAATCAGGAAGTTCAGAAGGTGGTACGGTCTTGTTGTCCATGCCATCATTGCGGATACAAAACTTAGGTAGGCTGAAACAGAAGGAAGGGCATTGGCTCTTCTTCACATACCAATCAAGCTGAAAAGCTTCTATGGGTGGACCATAAAGGTAGCCTTATGTTATTAGTTTACCTGACCACCTAGCAGCAATGAGTTGCTTCCTCCCAGTAACCTGTTGTGAGGCATTGGAAAGGGGCTGGGGAAAGAATGAAGAGCAGACAGATGGAGAAACCAAGAGAGGCAAGTCAGCTGATAGCTCAGTTCATAAATGGCCACTTTTAGGAAAAAAGAGACTTTTAGGAAAAAGTGTTTCAAAATACTCACAGGGACTGTAAAAGTGGGGAAAATCCTATCACGGTTTCCGCAATTCCAGTTTTTATCCCCCATTCCATCACTCTGCTAAATTAATTCCCACAACACTGTCAAACTATCTAAAAAGGTGCTGTGGTTCACCGGCAGCAGGTGCGGACGGCTGAGGCCTCGGAGAGCGAGGACTCAGATGAGGGGCCTGCGTGTGATGCAGGGATGGGGCCAGGACCATCAGGGAGTGGAGTGCTGCCTTTGGAGATTGTGGAGGCTGGCAGCAGTGATGAAGAGGCCCCCGAGGAGCCTGTGCCCAGTGCGCATGCGCACACGGCTGCTCGAAGGAAAGAGCAGGTGTAGCAGCACAGGCGACTCGGGAGTAAGGCTGCAAGGTGATGGCTCCTCCCTTAAGGGATAAAAGCCAGCCCTCAGAGGTGGGATTCTTTGCAGGAAGCAAAGAAGTTCTTGCACTTCATGTCTTGTGGAAGTTCGGACTATCCTGGTTTGTGTTTGGAGACTTTATGTTTTGATTTTTTCCCTTGTAATTTAATCTAGTGTTCTTGGCAGCCTTGCACAACCTTAGCAAGGCTTGTTCTTATCTGAGACAATTAGTTTTTAATAGTGTTTTACTGTGAATGAACGGAATTCACAGAGAAGCATTAAAAAGGTTTTGCTTTATATCTCTGTTTGGTGTTTGTTTGCTTTGAATGAGACTTGGGTCAGAACAAAAGGCAGTATTACCATTGTTATTCTCATCTTCCCTATTCCCTATCACCTTATCTTCTTATGACTATAACTTGTTGCTGTATCTTACTATTTAAATTGTTTAATTAGTATCCTAGTATGATGTATGTTGATTGCTTATTTAAGTATCCATGACTATCACTAAGTGTTGTATCTGATATTTTATGATGAATGTATTTTTACAATGACGATGATAATTATCTATCACTATTGTTGTATATACATTGAGACCTTATGCACCGGAGACAAACTCTTTGTGTATCTAATCACACTTGGCCAATTAAACCTTAACATCAAAAACTTCATCAAAAAGCACAACAAAGAATGTTCTTTCTGTGCCAACTCAGAAAGCTCAAACTGCCCAAGGAGCTGCTGATCCAGTTCTACAGAGGAATGATTGAGTCTGTCATCTGCACCTCTATAACTGTCTAGTTTGGTTCTGCAACCCAACAGTAATTAGGAATGCAGAAAAAACAATTAGTGCCAACCTGCCTTCAATCGAGGACCTACATACTGCACGAGTCAAAAAGAGGGCTGTGAAAATATTTAAAATATTTAAAGACCCCTCACATCCTGGACAAACTGTTTCAACTCCTACCCTCAAAATGATGCTATAGACTAGAGCATTGCACACCAGAACAACTAGACACAAGGACAGTTTTTCCCCAAATGCTGTCACTCTGCTAAACAAATAATTTCCTCAACATTGTCAAACTATTTACTAAGTCTGCATTACTATTACTATTAATCCTCTCATCTTTCCTTTTACCCCTCTCCTCCCACTTATGACTGTATGACTGTAACTTTGTTGCTTGCATCCTAACAATTTTTATTGACTGTTTCCTACTATGATTTGATTGCTTATTGTACCCTATGACTATTATTAAGTGTTGTACCTTATGATTCTTGACTCTTGATGAATGTATCTTTCTTTTATGTACACTGAGAGCATATGTACCAAGACAAATTCCTTGTGTGTCCAATCACACTTGGCCAATAAAGAATTCTATCTATCTATAAAGAATTCTAATTCTAATTCTGTATTTATCTTGACACAGTCCAAGATGTGAAGTCTGCATAGGTCTTGCTTACTTAAGATTGCCCAGCTAGGTAGGGTTAACACTTAACTGACTTCCTGTTACTATGACTATACTAATAATCCTCATTAAAAAATACTGGTTTCCAATTTGTCTTCTTCCCAACTATATTGCTTTTTCAAAACTGGCTAATGGAGGAGGATAATCTATTGGCCAATGGAGTAAGTATCTGGGCCAAATAAAATGTGGTGGAAGATCACAGAGAGACCATGGGCTGGCCACTCCTGATTCAGCCCTAAGCATTATTCTATTATGAGCCATATTAAAATCCTTTTTTTTTTGCAAAAATTTAGGCCGCTCAATGTTATTTAATGTTGCTTTGCTATGGCATTTAATGTTGTTTTTAATTGCAACATTTTCTGCTGAATTCTACTCTTACTGTTGCTGCTTGATTTGGTTTTATTTCCGCTTCTTATCAACAAAAGCCAAATAGAGATATAAATTCTCATTTATATTTACTGTTAAGAAAGCTGTTCTGATTTCTAAGAAGTGAAGAAAATTACACGTAATACAAACTTACTGTCAATCCAAGACACTTTGCCCAGTTTAACAAATTCAGGGAAATCGGCCTTCATTCTACTTACTCTCTCCCAGGTGGTAATCCTGATGAGTTCTCCACCTGCATCTCAGGATTGGTATATCCAAGACTCCCTGCATAAAATTGCATATCCTAAAACAAACAAGCTATTTTAGTAATGGCCTGCTGCAGCCTTTGTGCAGACAAAAATGAGGAGCATTGCCTGCGCAGGCCTGGTCAGATGGTTGAAAAAAATACATGACACCCTCTCCCTCATATTTGCATCTATTCCTTAAGGAGCTAGGAAGATACGGTGTTTATTGTATTGGCCTTGGACTGTGGGAAACACAGTTTAAATACACGGTGGTGCTGATCACGAGGAGACCCTGAGCCAGTCACTAAATCTCAGCCTTTATTGGGTTGCTACAAGGATACTCCAGGACGTAGCAAAGTCCATGTGTGCTATCTCTGTGCTTCTGGAAACAAAGTACTGCACTGTTTACCGTTTCTATTTCCCTTGATAAAAATGGAATGTTTGAAGAAGGAGCAACACTATCAAGCATTTCAATTAATACATTCTCCTGTCACAAATCATTCAGTTTAGCCACTCATGTTTTAGCTTTGCTTAGGTGTCAAGTGTTTTGCATTCAGTTCAGTTTGGCAACAGTTTATCCAACTGTTCACCTAACAAAGAGAATGAGCCAGCATTGCTATGTACCCTCGATGGGTGCTGAAGATCTCGACATGTCCAAATAATTGGATTACATTCTAGGCCATAAACCCAATTTGAATTCCAAGACGGACGTTGTGCTGTATTGAGATTTAATCAGGACAGATCAACAAAATTCAAAAGAATTATCTCTATGGATACTATGATTGTATAATAGTATTACTATAATACAAAAAATGATGATTATCCTCTTGTAGTAGCTCTCATAATAAAAGCATGAAGTCCGTAAGCCTCCCTCTGTCTCCTACCATGGGAAAATGCATAAACCTCAGACTTTACAGATAACAAAATTAAAGCAATGTTAGAAGGAAATATTACGAACACATTGCATGCTGGATACGTTAAAAAAAATACATTTTTATTTAAACAAGAGCTGCAGCCTTGCCTGACTGGGCCTTGTTGGGGGAGGGTAGAATTCTGGCTGCTTCTCAGGATCCTTCACCTCTTGTGGGGGACGCTGCTGGACAATATACTCATAGGTGGTCATTCGGTGCCACACTAAAGAGAAGGATAGAAGATTAATTCACTCTGAAGTCCAGAGACCAAGATATGAGTTAAGATGCTATGATGGGAGAGAAACTAATCAAGAAGAGAAACAACCTAGAACTAAGAAGGAATTTCCTGTCAGTTAGAACAATTAATCAGGGGAATGGCTTGCTCTGGAATATTGGAGGTTTTTCAGAAGAGTTTGAACAATCATTTGTCTGAAATGGTGTAGTATTTCCTGTTTGAACAGGGGATTGGATAAGAAGATTTCCAAGTCCCTTCCAATTCTGTTATGTTATTCTGTTATGAGTTGAAAAGGATGCCTCGGAAGGGAATAAAAAGACTTTATTTAAATTAGCGATTTACTGATAATTAATGAACGAGGTGATACTACAGTCCCTGTTAAATCAGAAGTGTTTAAGTAACCCCTGCATGCAAATCCTCCAGTTCAGAGAAATAACTTCTGCAGATACGTAACTGAAACAAGCCAGCTGGATACAATAGTCTAGCCAAACTATTGTCTCCAGTCCACCGTTCCTTAGGTAGGGTTTCACCTTCCACAATCTTATTCAGAAATTTCACGCAAGACAAAATGCTTCCAGCTACGCTCAGGCAAAGAATGTGAAAGTGTGTAGATGTACTTATGAAGGGGGAAGGTGCTCAGTTTAATTGAAGGGAGAAGCAAAATCAGAAGAAAAAAAATGGTACCTACTCAGATAAATATGGAAGACTAACAGGTGGCCCAACAGGAACAGAGTCAGTAACCCCAGAATTATCAGAAGACCAGCCAAAGACAAGATTGCAGGTGCTTTTGTCTTAACTGGAGCAACAGGAAGGAACACAAACCAGACATCTGTTTGGTTCTTCAAGTCTAGAAAACGAAACAGACAAAAAAGGGAGGAGGGATTGATTCTTCATCACTCTGTATTTGTGCAAATCACTTTTTTAAATAAAGTTTTTTTTATTTTTATAACAGACAAAACAAAACAAAAAACCTTCTTTCAATTGTACAATGTGTTGGTTTGGTACACATATCATGTGCACAATATCTATAATCCTTTTCTCTTAACTTTACATTCATATTATATTCTAATCAACATTCCATATCGTATTATATCATTATTATACTATCCTTGATGTTTTAATTTCAATTTCAGGCTATCTTTAGAAGCAAATCTCATTTCTTGCTAAATTATATTCCTAATAAAACTTACTCAAAAGTAATCAATTATAATATATAACATTACAATATACTTCAATTTCTTACTCATCTATGTAGCCATTGATAAAATAAATCCCAAATCTTATATTACTCCTTTTCTTCTTGCTCTCTGGTTGCTAATTTCTACTCATTTCTGCACATTCCATTATTTTCTCAATCACCTCCTCCGTTGGAATTTTCTCATTTTTCCAATTTTGTGCAAATCACTTTAATGGGCTCTCAAGCCAAGGGGGAATATCTAGATTGGCCAAACTTCAGACATCTTTTCTTAGGAAACAAGTGTATTAACAGTGATTAATAACTTGGATACTTATCAACACAGCGCTTCCGACCAAGAAGATCAAAGGAGACAAAGGAGAAATTGCCATAACGGGACAGTTCCTCCGTGGAGGTTGTAGAAAGGTACCTTCAAAGTGACGTCCGGTGCGTAACTTCGTGGGATCGAGGAAGAATTGAACCAGGACATAGAAAGCAACAAGTAGGATTAGGAGAAGGCCCAGGATGGCAGATATTACACTGTTCAGAAACAGCCTGTCAAGAAAATAGAGGAACCTTTAGCAGCTTCACCATGAAACACAAGAGAAATCAATTTTCAGCCATGGCTGTCACATTTAGCAACGAGAATCTCTGGCAAAGAAACTGTGCCATTCCTAATCCTGGCTAGTGTATAGTGAGCGCTACGCTCTTGCCAGACTATCCTATACATCTTTGCTTATCTAGCTCAGAAGAGAGTAAGGGCTCTCATAAAAGCCAGAGACATCTACAGGACAGCGTATCCTAGAGCGGAACTCTAATCTGAGAAGTCTACAAGTAAATGTTTTTATCACATCCAGTGCAGTTTACCTCAATACTGCACAAAGAATTCAACACTTACCATAGTTTTTACTGGCCAAATAACCAGCAGACATCCATATATCTCAGCCAGGAATCAAAGCATCTAGACTAAAAGTCCCGAACACAACGCTCTTAAGATTGTAGAAGGCTCTTCAAAATATTAGGTGTATACTTTATATATTGCTAACTACGATCTTAAGTATAATCCCTATAATGTCATGTAATTTGAAAATGGAAAACAGGTATTTAGACTGTGAAGGCTAAAAAAAGATTTTTAAAAGGTGCTAGGTTTGTTCAATGGGTGTTCACAGGCTTTGCTTAATGGGCTAATGTGTGATAGACAAGACCATACCAATAATTTCTCTCTCCCACACAGTTGTTGAGCCACATGCAGTGATGATCAAAGCCACATACGCATTTGTTACAAGATCCACAATGTTTTGATCTGGAGCTCCTAAGAATAAAACGGGGAGAAAAAAACCCGGAGCTAATTATACTCTGCAGTTGTTTTCCAGATTAATTTGTGTGCTAAATTGAGTGCTAAATTGAGTGCTAAATTATATGTGTACCAAAAAAAAAAAAGAGGAAAGAACTAATTAATGCATGCTGTTTCCAATTAAGTCTGTTCTTACATGTAGAATAAGTACAATAAAATACATGGGAATTCAGAGAACGATGTCCTTTTATTTACTGCTGGCTCTCATTCACCATGCCTGCACTTCTAAATAAGATTGTTCCAACTTCTTTGATCTTCTAATCAAAACATCAATGCAGGAATGATAGTCTATTGTGAAAACAGCAAGTCTTACAAAATTTTGTCAACCATCATGCACTACCAGTGATCGCTGGTGACCAACACAATTTACAATTACCTGGCATCAAGTAAGAAAGGGCTGAAAACAAAGATCTAATTTAAAAAGTCATGGGTGTAGCTAGATTATTGATGAAGGTAAGATACAAGATGGGGGGGGGGAGGCACTTCTGCATGCACTCTGTAAGACCCCAAGTGGTTATTTAATTCGCAAGGTCATGGTTGAGTCATCTATTATGCTAAACTATTTGTTTAATCATGACTTATTGAATAAACACAATTGACCGGTTCATACAACAGACAAAGCCATAAGTCACAGTTTACAAAACACATTGTCTGTGTTTACATAACATGCTTAACCAAAACCAAACAAACCATATTGGGTTCAGCATGACACGTGAATCCAGCCAGTTCTATTAAGGTCCAGTGGCAGTAAACCACAATACCAATAGCTGTAAAATACTTGGATGTTTTATCTAAGATTTCTAGCACTGATCGTTGCCCAAGAAAGGAATTGGGGCAGTGAACTCACAACTCATATAAAGAGAAGGCAAAACAAATACTCACACATCAACATCACAGATGTGACAGTGACGATTTTCAATGACATGAGCGTGCTGGCTGCGATTGAACGCAGACAGCGGCCCCTGGTAATTCTTCTTTCGCACACTGTCATCGGCCGGATCAATGGAAACTGCGGTAAGGTGAACTACTACATGGCAGAGAAAGAAGACGCCGGGACACTGAAGGGTGCACCGTTAAGGCTTCTCTCTCTCAGATTTATTGGCGTTCACATTTTAAAGTGCCATGGGGAAAAAATGCCACCAAAAATAAAAATCCTTTTAGTTAAAAAAAAGAGAAACTGGTGCCAGCTAGCTTGAAAGATACAAATCATTGCTTCTTCACAGAAGCCCAGAAAAAGCACAGGAGAGGCAAAAAGTCATTAAATAGCAATCTGATAGCAAAAGGAATTGTTAACAAAAGCAGCATTGTGTCTACGGGTAGTCCTCGACTTACGACTGCCATTGAGCCCAACATTTCTGTTGCTAAATGCAACAGTTGTTAAGTGAGTTTTGCCCCCTTTTATGGCCTTCTTGCCACAGTTGTTAAAGGAATCACTGCAATTGTTCAGTCAGTGATGAGGGCTGGATTCCCCTTGACTTTGCTTGTTTAGAAGGTCGCAAAATTTGATCCCACGACCCCAGAACACTACAACTGTCATAAATATGAGTCAGTTGCCAAGCATCTGAATTTTGATCACGTGACCATGGGGATGCTGCAACAGTTGTAAGAGTGAACAATGATCCTAAAGTTCACTTTTTCCGGTGCCATTGTAATTTTGAACGGTCACTAACTGGACTGTTGTAAGTCAAGGGCCACCAGTATTCATTATGAAAAGGGAAAATATCGCTTAAAAACAGTAGCTGCCCAAAATGGGGGGGAAGCAGACAGGAGGGGACAGAAGCACCGGCGATTTTTATGAATGAAAGTTTTTCACCATTTCCAAATGAAAGCTTTAGGCAACTTTTAAGGAACGGTTTTTCACCATTTGTGCTGTCATGGATTCGGAATAGCCGTACTTGCAAGACATAAAGGATACAATATACCCAGCAGGTACCCAGTGAATGGGCAGGAGAGGCACAAGGATGCCAAAACCAACCAACGCAAAGAAGAAGAAAAGTAACCAGGCAACGAATTGGAAGGGATGGGGGGGCCAACTCCAGCCATTTCTCCTGGCATGCTGGGAGTGAACTTCAAAAGTTGTTTCGGAAGTCTTCTCTGGGGCTGTCTTGTTAGGTGGCTTACTGCAGATATTCATCTGCAGGAGATAAGAAAGAGAATAATTATTTATTTATATGTGTGTGTGTGTGTATACATACATACATACATAGGTCTAGGTGTGTTCAGGTCTTTTCCCGTGTAAGATTAAGAGTATCTTGGCAACGTTTCGGCGAGGTCCCACTCGCCATCCTCAGGCTGGTGCTTT